GCACTGAGCCTTATCTTCACTTCTTAAAGTGACTGCAGGAATCTGTCCTTTTACTAGTGAGGAAGCAATCCCTCCCCCCCCCCCCACTCCTGGAAACTATTTAGAGCCCCTCTTGGCCTGGGTAGGTATCCTCAGGCCTTGTAGATTTTAGAGGGAAAACATACTTCGTACTGTCAGTTTTTGATCAACAGACTTTTCATTTCTCTTTAATAATAATACAAGCAAAGGGACCATCTTATTCTTCTTTTTTTTTTTTTACTTTTTGGAGACAGAGTCTTATTCTGCAGACCAGTCTAGAGTGCCATGGTGTCAGCCTAGCTCACAGCAACCTCAAACTCCTGGGTTCGAGCAATCTTCCTGCCTCAGCCCCCTGTGCAGCTATGACTCCAGGCACCCACCACTACTCCTGGCTAATTTTGTTCTATTTTTAGTAGAGACAAAGGTGTCACATCTGATGGCGCTGGCCTCCACCTTCTGACCTCGTGATCCTCCCACCCTGGCCTCCCCAGCCCTAGGATTATAGGGATGAACCACCCTTCCCAAAACTATCTCTTGATTATGATGTTCTCCTGACTTAAGATCTTTATCACATGAAGTCCCAAGCTCACTGACAAAATCCTAGAGCCTCAGGGAAAGCCTCTATGAGACAGGATAAGATAATGGCGATCACCTGATCAGAGGGCCCGCTGAGTATGCACACACAGCCTCTGCAGTAGCCTCTGCCACCACTTTTACCAGTCCCCAGAATGTGATATCAAATGAGAGTCTGGCTCATAAAGGGGGTGTGGAGGCACAAGGCAGATATGGAGGGGTATCAGAGCCTCCTATAGCATTAGATACTGCTGGGGCCTCTCTGTCATTAAACAGTTTTCTGGAAGGGAAATCCTGAGGCCCTTAGCCAGTGCAGACTGAAGGCTATCCTCTTCTAGCTGGTCTACTATGTCTTAGTGGAAAACAGATCTTCCTTGGCCAACGGAGAGCAAATATTTGAGTGGGGAGAGGTGGTGAAAACTACTTTATTTCCGGGCGGTGCCTGGGGCTCAGTGGCCCCATATACTGAGGGGGGTGGATTTGAACCTGGCCCCGGCAAAACTGCGACAAAAAAATAGCCAGGTGTTGTGGTGGGTGCCTGTAGTCCCAGCTACTTGGGAGGCTGAGGCAAGAGAATCGCCTAAGCCCAAGAGCTGGAGTTTGCTGTGAGCTGTGACGCCATGGCTCTCTACTGAGGGTGACAAAGTGAGACTCTGTCTCAAAAAAAAAAAAATATACTACTTTATTTCCAACAAACTCTCTGCCATAGCCTAAGAACAATGGGCTTCTTGTTGGGCACAGAAGAAGAAATTTAATAGGTAATTCTTTCTCTTTTTTTTGAGATAGAGCCTCAAGCTGTCACCCTGGGTCAAGTACCATGGAATCATAGCTCACAGCAACCTCCAACTCCTGGGCTCAAGTGATTCTCTTGCTTTAGCCTCCCAAGTAGCTGGGACTACAGGCACCCACCACAACACCCAGTTATTTTTTGGTTGTAGTTGTCACTGTTGTTTTAGCTGGCCTGGGCTGGATTCAAATCCTGCCGGCTCCGGGATATGTGGCTGGTGCCTTAGCCACTTGAGCTCCAGGCACCAAACTGGTAATTCTTTCTTTAATTTCAACTTAATCAAAAAGTCTTTGAGAATAGAACTTTTTTTACTTTCTGTTTTCCCACAGGGTCTAGGTCAGGGAATAAGACAGGCCCTCAATAAGGCTTGCTGGTTGACCGGTGACCCATTAGCTGAGGGCAGATTCTAGGCAGGTTTCCCAAATGTCAGTCTCTAATACATTGAAGTAGAAGCTTTTGCCAAGAGTACCAGGTTGTTTACAGATTGTGGGGAGTTATTTATCTATAGCAAGTTATTGAGAACAAACCAAACACTAGAGCAGGATAGATAATAGAGAATATGCAGAAGTTCAAGCAGGTGCCCTGAGACTGTACTCAGGCATATCAGGAGGCATGCTCCTGTCTGTTCTCAGGATTATAGGCGCGGCTCGAATCTGGCACCTCACTTCCTATGATGAAATAGTCTGTCTTCTTCCCCACCTGGGGAGATGATCCAAGCATTCGTCCATGTGTCTATCACAGTGCACCCGCATGGGGTGCTATCCGGACATTTAGTGGGAAATTGCAAGTGGGAAGGAAGGAGATATCTGTAGGAGGAACTGAAGCCAGGCTTGAGTTTGGAGAATACATGATAAACCGAGTGGGAAGATGTGTCAGGCAAGTGTGGTAAATTAGAAGAAAAGGAACCAGAGATAGGATGACATCAATTAGGAGACAGTACTAGGTGATGAGTGTTTGGAATGGAGGCGTGGCAGTAGAATCAGACGTAACCTAAAAGTGGTTTGAATTGAGGCTCATATGGGCAACAGTTAGGTGCAAGGGACGCCAGTAATGGGATATGGGATGTCAAAGTGGACTTCCAGTCTTTACAGCCAGGACTGTCGGTCTTTCTGCTGAGTTGTGGTAGCCCTGGCAATTAGAAGATACAACTCTGGCTCCCAACCAAGATGCCAGGAAAGCGGCCTCAATCCCCAGGCCTGAGTACCAAGAGGTTTTTGGAGGCCTTCTTAGTTATTGGACTGCAGCAAGTTATTTAATGATTGAGATTTTTTCTTTTCTTTTTTTTTTTGAGACAGCCTCAAGCTGTCTCCCTGGGTAGAGTGCGTGGCATCAAAGCTCACAGCAACCTCCAACTCCTGGGCTCAAGCGAGCCTCCTGTCTCAGCCTCCCAAGTAGCTGGGACCACAGGTGCCCACCACACCGCCAGGCTATTTTTTGTTTGCGGCCATTGTTGTTTGGTGGGCCCGGGCTGGATTCGAACCCACCACCTTAGGTGCATGTGGCTGGCGCCTTAGCCACTTGAGCCACAGGCGCCAAGCCTTTTCCTTTTTTTTTTTTTTTTTTTTTCTTGTTACGGTCTTATTCTGTCACCCTGGATAGAGTGCCATGGCATCATCATAGTTTATAGCAGCATCAGTAATGAGTTTTTTTTCCCCAGTGGCTGGCGAAATAATAGCTTACTGTGGATTGCAAAACTTGAGTTGGCAGCTTGAGAATATGAGGTGTAGCAGGCATAGGGTAAATTCTGTTATTCTGGTTACTTGAGGACTCTCTTTTACTCTTTCGGCTCCACCATCCTCGCCATTTGATTTTTTTTCCTTTAATTGGACAAACTTGGCCACCACCACTTTAGGTGTCTTGGGGAGATAAGGCAAAAAAAAAAAAAAAAAAAAGTTATTTGCCAACAGATTTTCTTTCTGTTTCTTTGCCTGGAACCTGGTTACACACTGAAGCTCAGCACCAAATATTGGCAGCGAGGATGCCCCTATCAGGATGAGGCCACCAACCATATTTATCGCTGAATCATGTGAGAAGGGAGCATTATCAGTTGGCAGTGTTTCTCAGAGTAAATGTGCCCAGGGAACTCCTGAAGAGCTTGTTAAATGTAGATCCTGATTCATTTAGTCTGAGTGGGCCTGCGTGTGCATTCCTAACAAGCTCCGGGGGGACACCTGTCACTGGGACTGCACTTTGAGGCTTTGATTTAGAAGGTGGGAAGGAAGGGCCAGGTGGGGTGGCTCACACCTGTAACCTTAGCACTCTGGGAGGCCGAGGCCGGTGGATCGCTTGAGCTCATGAGTTTGAGACCACCCTGAGCCAAAGCAAGACCACATCTCTAAAAATAGCCAGGTGTTGGGGTGGGCACCTGTAGTCCTAACTACCCGGGAGGCTGAGGCAAGAGTTGGAGGCTTCCGTGAGCTATGATGCCACAGCCCTCACTCTACCAAGGGCAACAAAGTGAGGCTCTGTCTCAAAAAAAAACAAAGGAGGGGGGGTGGTGACGGTTAAGGGAAGCAACTCCCTTCCCAACCCCCATCACCACTTTCTGGAATGCTGGCCTGGCTTGCAGTGAACAATTTCTATTCTAGTCTTGGCACGGCTTGTCTTCTGGAGCAGGTGGCTTAATAATGACAAATGACCTTTGCAATTGCACTTTGTAATTTACAAAGCATGTTTCTCACACCATCATTTGCAGTCCTCTCTCAGCCTAGTTTTTGTGTGGCAAAGTGAAGCGTAGACGAGTAACTTCTAAAGGTTCACACACAGCTGGCCCGGCAGAGGTGGAGCCAAAACCCAAATCGTGTATTTCCTAACGGAAGGCCCTTCGTCTTGCTGTCGGTCTATGTGGTCTGCTGTCTGATGGAATCGAGTTTTCTGCTCTTTGCCCATTGCTTGAATCCTTGATCCCTTAGATGGAGATACTATTTATTTTAAGTTCTTTGGATGGTATCCAGTTTTCTCAATTGGCTAAATAATTTACTCAAGAATACAGAGCTAGGAAATGTTATTACTGGGATATAAAACTATAGCCACCCGTGCCTGGCATGGTGGCTCATGTCTGTAATTGTGGCACTTTGGGAGGCCGAGGCAGGTGGATTGCCTGAGAAAGAGACCTCATCTCTACTAAGAATAGATAAAACTACCTGGACATTGTGGTGGGCCCTAGAGTCCCAGCTACTTGGGAGGCTGAGGCAAGGGGATCTCTTGAGCCCAAGAGTGTGAGGTTGCTGTGAGCTATGATGCCACAGCACTCTACCTAGGATGGCAGAGTGAGACTCAATGAAAGGCTTAGGAACCCAGAGTCTGTCAATCCTCTTTCTATCCTTGCTGACACAGTGCCATCAGCCCCAAGGATCCAGTTTCCAACCCTAACATAATTTTTTTCTGCTCTCTTTGCAGGGTGTTTCTGTGGCCTAGGGCTGGTTAGCACCAACAAGTCCTGCTCAATGCCACCCATCAGTTTCCAAGACCTTCCCCTCAACATCTATATGGTCATTTTTGGCACCGGCATCTTCGTTTTCATGCTCAGCCTCATCTTCTGCTGCTATTTTATCAGGTGAGTAGATCACTGGGGAATCCAAAAGACAGGAGGTGGGGCAAGCGGAGCAGGGTCACTGGCCTTATGCTGAAGCTGCTGCTTTGCTTTGAGGACATGGCTAAGCCTGTCCTTCTCTGGGCCTCCAAGGCCTGGTGTTTCTGTTTATATCAGCCTATCAGGTTGTCCCAGAGCACATTAGGTCAACACGGGTTGGGCTCCATCCTGCCTCTTTCCTGGTCAGGTATTCTAAAGTCGCCTAGAATTAGTGTGTGACAGTAAGAGCTGGTAGTCCCTTAGCTGTCATTCTCTACTCCCCAGCTCACGTCCTCTGGGTGGCCAGGAACAAGTGGGCATCAGTTACACCAGTGACCTGTTCCTTTGCCCTCCTGGGAAATCCTGTTGTCAGCCCTCCAGATGCTAATATTAGCAAGCTGATGTCTGGAGAGCTCCTTGTTTATTCTGCCTTGTAAGCTCTTATTTTTGAGAGTGGAAAAAAAAAGGGGGGGGCAGCTAGAAACGGGTCCCTTATTCTTAATTGCTTAGGGATCCAGGGAAGGACATGAGCGTGGCAGGGCTATTTCTCTGCCTCTTGCTGAAAAACAGAACTTGCTGACTATTTTCTACCAAAAAATTTGGGACATGACTGGTATTTAGAGTGGAAATCCAAGTAGTCATGTTTCTGAATGGAGCGTGCTGTTGGTATTGACAATTCCTCATTGTGTGGGGCTGTCTTGTACGTTGGAGAGGGTTGAACATCCCTGGCCAATTAATTGGACAGGCTAAGTAGTTGTTAGAGCCACTGTGATCCCCAGCCCATTTCCCCGCCACCCACACATCACCAGATGCCTGAGTAGACATCAGCCTGTGGTCTGATCAAATCATTTAAGAAGATTAAGATTAAGGAAAGGGAGTCTTTGCTTGATACTGAGCTGCCCTGCTGGGTGTGAGTGTTTCTCTGGAAGGCAACTGGCTAGGAGGCAGGTACTTATCTACCTTCCCTGAAGCTAGCGGGTTCCTATAAGAAGGGGAAGTGGCCTCAGGCAGCATTCCCATTTGCTGTCTTGGACTTCTTCCTTCTCAGAACCAAATAGGTCCCTAGGACTGGAAATTTCCACTTAAAAGTCTCAGCAGTGAAGACAGTGGTTTATTTTCCCTCTTAGACACTTGGGTCTGGAGTTTGCCTCTATCAGAGGGTAGATTTCTGGTACCTCCCTCCTTCCCTTCCCCTTGTCTAAAGCCTATTTTCTTCCTGACCACCACCCTCCCCGCACCTCAGCCCCAAGCCCTCGTGTTAAGCAATTCACCAGATTCCTGGAGCCTGAAGATGGACACATACCAAATACCGAAGATTTACTTTTGATGAGACTGGAGGAGTCTGTAAAACCAACTCTAGCTGTTCCCTTCCCTCTCTCTGCTGCCCCCCCACCCCCAGGCACACACATACCCACCAGCAAAGGGGGTCTAGAGAAGGTAAGGTACAGAAAATTGCTTAGGGCTAGGAAGTGGGTAATGAGGGTTCATTTCCTAATTCAGCCACTAATCGGTGTAACCTTAGGTTCTTAGCTACTCTTTACCAAGGGGCTTTCTGTATACCAGGCATTGTGGTCAGCATTCTGTAAACCATTTAGCTCACTTATCCTTGGTTTAGGCATCAGCCCACTTTACAAATGAGGAAATTCGTGCTCAGACAGTTAAGGATGTGCCCAAGGTCATGCATCAGGAAGGTGGAGAGTGAGCTAGTCTGGCAGTGATTAGCTGGAGTCTTTCCGATTCCTTCCATATGTTTGCCTTCTGTGCTGATGGAGGTGGAGGCGCGCGGTTGGGTTGGCCACCCCTCCCTCTGCAGCTAGGGATTGGGTCCCGCAGCAGGACCAGATGGGGAGCTGTGCATTCATTGCTGATTTCTTTTGCTGCAGCCAAAGAGACAGAGCTGAGCAGTAACCACATAATACCAAAAGCTGCCTCCCCCCGCCCCCCGCTGTGGTGCAGCTCAGAGCCACCTGTCCCCCCTGCAGTAAGACGGAAATCTGCTCCTTCTGCTCCTTTGTTACCCCACCCTCTGTTCTGCCTGCCCAAAGCCAGTTGACCCTGGAGTTTCATGGTCCCAGAAGCGCACTAGTGTGTGGCAGCCTGCGTGTGCCTATATATAGCAAGACACACGAGCCCAGAAGCCACCACTTCCTCTGCCTGCTTCTCGGTTTCCTCCTCGGCCAAAACAGGCCCATGACTGCCACTCTCAGCCTGGTGAGCTCATCGGATGGCCACGGCCGGCCTCCCCAGATCCCTCTTCCCCCCTCTCTCACGACTGACCTCTGCCCCACACAGGATGGAGGGGCCGGGGAAGCACAAATAGTCAGGAAGGGAGCGATTCTTTTCAGGACCTGGCCACATTGTTGGTTGTGCAAGGGAGAAGAGGAAAGGGAGAGCCCACCGTCCGGGGCTAGAAATAGTCTCACATTTCAGAAAATCAGGGGTATTTTTAGTCGCTTTGCTCATCCAACAGCTGAGAAGTCCACCTGTCCACAGTTGTTGGCAGGAGGGCCCCAGCGAAAATGGCCCAGGGTCCTTGCTTTTTGCTGTTTTTACTTGCAACCGTTGGGGCCCCATTTAAATCGTGAGCTAATCCTCACTGAGCTGAAAATCTATGTAGGATGAAGGGGCAGCTCTGAAGCCCTTCCCTGCTCTGAGTTGTGAGTTGTGGAGGGTCCCTGGCTGAGACCATCAGCCAGATGGGAGGGGTGAGTGAAGGCAGAGGGGCGTCTTGGGTACCTGTAAGTATAGCCGTGTGCCAGGCAAGGCAGCGGCGCCTCCGCAGATACGTGGATGTGTGGCAGTCCCCTCGTTCCCCCACAGTTAGCAACACAGGCTTTCCACCACTTCCTTGTTTGCTGTGCACATCTCTTTACAGAGCAACAGTCCCCCTCTCCAGGGCTCCCTGAGGTTGGGGCACTTCCTCCCGCCCCAGCTCACCCCAGTGCTTGTCAAGTAACAGCAGCTCACGTGAGCCTTGGACTCATCCTTCTCTGCCTCTCTTATTTGGAAATAGGGACAGAAATGTACACATACTGCGCGGAGGCCTTTCCTGGCTTAAGGAGTTCTCTGTGCAGTGAAGGAGGGCCAGTGGGGGGTAGGCCTTTAGCCACCCTGCAATGTGGAGGGAACATAGGAGTAAGAGAAGGGGGGCCAGTGGGTGTGCTGCCCCCAGGCCCGTGCTGCTGAGGCTCTTGAGGCTCTGGGAACATGACAGCCTCACCTCACCTGCCCTGCAGTGCTCAGGCCTGGCTCTGCCCCTCGCCTCATATTTTTTTGGCATTGTGTGTTAGGAGGTCTCTATTATAATCACACAACTTCTGTCAGACCACAAAAGCAACCATAGGTGATATGTAAACTATGAGCAAGGTGTGTTCCAGTAAAATTTAACAGATGCTGAAACTTGAAACATCATTTTTTTCTCTTTATTAATTTTTTTTTTTCTTTTGAGACAGAGTCTCAAGCTGCTGCTCTGGGTAGAGTGCTAGGGCGTCATAGCTCACAGCAACCTCCCAACTCTTCTTGCCTCAGTTTTTCATTTTTAGTAGAGACGGGGTTTTGCTTTTGCTCAGGCTGATCTTGAACTTGTGAGTTCAAGAATCCACCTGCCTCAGCCTCCCAGAATACCAGGATTATAATCGTGAGCCACCATGCCTGGCTTTTAATTTTTTTGTGACAGATTCTCATTCTGTAGCCCTGGGTAGGCACAGCAACCTCAAACTCTTGGGGCTCAAGCTATCTTCTTGCTTCAGCCTCCCAAGTAGCTGGGATTACAGGTGCCTGCCACAATACCCAGCTAGTTTTTCTATTTTTAGTAGATAGAAATGGGGTCTTGCTCTTGGTCAGGCTGGTCTCCAACTCATGAGCTCAGGCAGTCTGCCTGCCTTGGCCTCCCAGAGTGCTAGGATTGATT